GCTATGGGTCGGAACCGACTCGACGGCACTTAACAACAACAACAACAACAACTACTACTGCTGCTGCTTCGGAAGGGGTTTGGAATGGGAATATGTACTCTTTGTATGGTTTTTGAGTTTGTTGTTTTTTTAAACACATGCTTTATTGCTTTCAAATAAAAATAAATAAACCTTTTAGGTCAAGGAAAATTCTGAGTTGTGTCTGAGAAAATACTGTAATATAGAACACAGTACCATATACTCAGAGGTGCTCAATAAATTGAGGAAGCAAAGTATGTGGAGTTGATTCAGAACACAGACTGTATACAAAGAGATCTCTCTATCTGAACATCAGATACTTAACTAACATAGTCCCTGCTTTTACACAAGGAGCTAAGTTTGGATCACTCAAATGAGGAAAAGAAAAGGAGTGTAAAAATCGTCTCCCTTGCAAGCACATTATGTACACTAACTTTAGTCTTCTGAAGAATGGGATGCAAGCCTTCCATCTAGTCGGCAGAGCCTACAGGAGTTCATAGCAACTCTGCTGGCCCAAGTGCTCCATCCCAACTCACGGGGACCCTGAGCAGTCTTTCCTCCAGCCTCTTCATACTCCAGATTGCAGACAAGCCAACCTCAGCACTTAGGGCCCTTTTTAACATCAAGGTTTTAAGAAACAAAGCCCTAAAGGAAAAGGAAAATAATGGTAGGCCCTTCAGAGGAGTCTTGTTGTAGCACTATAAGATAAGATTGGATGGAAAGGTCGGTTTGAACTGCAAGGTTGGCAGTTCAATCTCACCAGCCACTCCTCCGAAACTATACAGGGTCACTATGAGTCAGAACCAACCTGGTGGCACTTAACAACAGGCCCTTCAGAACGTGGTAAAAGGAATTCCCTGGGTTTGGCATAGATCCTTCACAGCAAACCTGATCTTAAGAAAATTGGGAACTCGCTAGTGTAAAATGGGTGAGAGGAAAACTGCTGAAACTCAGCCAGCTTCAGCACATCCTCTTTGTTCCTTGCTTTATTTGGATATGCCTCCCTGAAGTCAGTCTCCAACCAAAGGCAAAACCTCTGCCATTGAGTTGATTCCGACTCACAGCAACCCTTTATAGGGTTTCCAAGACTGTTGACTTGGATCTTTTGTGCAACTACTTGTCTGGCTGCCTCTAGATACCCGGTTTCCACAGAGCAAACACCTCCTTCCACCTCTCGACAGCCACAAGCTGTGCTGGTAGGTGCAAGCTCCAAGAGCCAGGAGTGAGGGGCAGGTGTAGCAGGGGCAAACAGTGGAAGTAGTTCAGGAACAACTAAAAGCAGTGTTAGCCTAGCACCTGGTAGCCTAGTGGTTTAGAATCTGGCTGCGAACCTCACAGTCAGCAGTTCGAAACTACCAGTTCTTTCATGGGAGAAAGATAAGGTTTTCTACTCCCATGAATTTTTAAAGCCTCAGAAACCCTATACAGGATTTCTATTAGTCAGAACCAATTCCATGCCGCATATCAACATATATATATGGGTATATATGTGTATATATGTGTGTGTGTATATATAAAAGGTGCTCTGGTAGCATGGTGGTTACGAATCAGGCTGCGAACTTTAAGGTCAGCAGTTCGAAACTACCAGCCGCTCTGTGGGAGGAAGATGAGGCTTTCTGCTCCCATGAAGATTTATAGCCTCGGAAACCCTGTACAGTGTCACTATGGGTGGGACACGACTCCACGGCACACAACAACAACATAGACTTCAGACACAGGAAGCAAATGACAACAGAATCTGTTTTCTCAGGAGAACATCACTTGAACTGAGAGACAGGGCTTCTGACTTGTAGGTCATGGGCAGGCAGTTGAGGCTGTAGAAGGAAACAGTAGCACTTACCGAGGGAAGATAGCTGTCATCAAGGCTGACGCATAGCCGGGCTTACAAGCTCCCTCTGAAAAGTTTGCGTATTTAGTGGCTAACTCAGCAGGCCTATGGGAAGAGAAGGAAAGTCACAGCTTGCAAGGCATTGGACATTCAATGAGTTATTAAATCATAAAGAGGTGTAAACGTTTAAACCTTAAACAAAGCTTCATTCCCAATAATTGGTACTTCAGGCCTTTTTCTACACCAAGTTTTAAAAAATAAGCTCTAAGGAATAGGTAGATAAGGAAGCAAAGCTCCCCAGCAGAGATTGGTGAAAGGAAGTCATTCGATTTCACATATAGATTTGCAGCAAACCTGATACCAAGGAAATCAGGAACTCCATCCAGGCTCCATACGTGGAGGTGGAGCTTGGAGACTGTCAGGAAAGAGGCTCAGGCTTTGGTCTTAGCTAGGTATTGTCCTCTCAACCTTCTTTGTATGTTCCTACATGTCCAGCTTCATTAGCTTCTAATCTCTTTGATACACTATGATCCTACCAGCTGGAATCATTCATAGTATACTGAACAGAATGCACAAACTACATGCATTACTATGGCTATTAATACAACCAGTAGACATATATAGCTGAGGATGTTCTTCTGTTCTACTGTTTCTCTGCCTGGAGTGTTCTACCTTGTCATCCAGCTAGCTAATGCCTACGGGTCCTTCACAACTAAACTCAGATGTCAATTCACTGGCATCTCTTCCCTGACCCTAGATTGGACCAATCACACTCACCACTGTATTGTAATTGTTGGCAGTATGTCCACCTATTCTACTGCTAATTCCTGAGGTCAGAGTTGTGGTCTGATTTAACTGTGCACTGCAGTACCTTGTCAGAGTCAGGCGCTCAGAAGACCCCTGTTGTTTTCTGAAGGATAACACAGCCCTGACAATCACTATACTCTGACCTTCCGACAGGATGATATAACCTGATAACCCACAGGGCAGAGGCTGTGAATAATGTTCAGAAGACTTGTGTTCTAGCTCTGGCTTTGCTGCTGTGTGGCTATAGTTAGGCAACCTCATGTCTCTGAGTTTCAATGTCTTATGAGTTCAGTGTGGGGCTGGGATCATTCCCTTCAACCAAAGTCTCTTCCCTATGCAGTCTAGAAAAAAACCCAAGTGCAGGTAAGGAAACACAGTCAATGGCTGCCTCCATGACCGGCGGGCTGGAGGTCCTGCACTCTGTGGTACCTGAGTGAGCCCTGGCTGGTGGTCAGTTCCAAGTCCCAACCTCCTACCTCTACCCCAGGCCTGTTGCCAACACACAGAAGCCCAGTTGTTCCACTATGCTGGGGCCCTCTGGCAAGTCTTCCCTCAGGGCTGACTTTTACGTGTGGGGTGGGGTGACGCCTGTACCAGACAGCCAGAAATGACAGCCATTATCTATCATATGTCCTGTTGAATTCACCTTTGTGCCTCTGTGGGTCTAGTCCACTACAGAATAATTCCTCAGTGAATTAAGACAAACACATCTATACCCATGTGCAATTCCTTCCAGAAACCTTCATTTTTTAAAAGCTTTCTTACCAATAAAATTTAAAGCCTGACATGCAAATACAAATGCAAATGCTGAGTAGCACATCAAGGTTCTGGGACTTTATTTGGTAGGCAAAAGAAAGTCAAAGGTTTTAACAAGAGAATAAAAACATTTTCTAGGTTGAACAATTGTATTTTAGAAATGACATACACACATACAGGCATGTGTTGCTTAACATTCACAATCTAGTCTGTGAAATAAGATACTATGTGATTTGGACATTGTGTGAACACCATTTTATATTTAGTATATATGTTTGAAAGGAGATCTGGTAGCATAGTAGTTACAAATCGGGCTGCTAACCTGAAGGTCGGCAGTTCGAAACTACCAGCAGTTCCGCGGGAGAAAGATGAGGCGTTTTGCTCCCACAAACATTTACAGCTTCGGAAACCCTGTGCAGGGTCACTATGAGTCGGAATCGACTCCACGGTTCTTAACAACAACAATATATGTTTGATACACATATATCAAAGTAAGTCCCTTGTGACAGTTCAAGTTTTGTGTCGACTTAACTGGGCCAGGATTCTTACTGGTTTAGCAGTGAAGATGCGATCTAATATAATGAAATCACCTCCATGATGAGATGTTCTATGAGCAACCAATCAACTACAAGGAAGTTACCTTGGAGGTGTGGCCTGCAACACTTTTTCTCTTACAAGAGATAAAAGGAAAGAGAAATAAGCAAAAACCAAACCCCGGAGGTCCCTGGGACCATCAAGTGAGAAAAGCAGAGTGCAGGACCCTAACCAGAGAAGCAGTGACACCAGAGATGGAGGCAGAGATGGAGATGGAGCAGCTGGGGACTCTGGACTCAGGGACGGAGAGGGGCTGACAGCTTGGGTGGAGGGCAGGCCTGTGGGGTATACCTTTTGGTTGTTTGATGATGCATGGAGGGGACTGTAATCACTGCAATGAAACGAATATGATAGGATGAATGTAAAGCTGGTGTTCTCCCATGTAAACACATAATTCATAATAAAAACTTAAAAAAAAAAAAAGATTATAGCTTAGGAAGTCCTATGGGGTGATTCTACTCTGTCTTATAGGGTCTCTGTATTAAGAATCAATTCAACAACTACGTATCTTTGTCTCCCAGTCCCCCACAATTTGGTTATCCATCTTGTACTGTGGATTCCTGTGGTCTTTCTGGATTCCAGAAAGCTTCACACTAAAAAAGGTGAAAAACAGATGACAGCAACCCTTCATAATACAGTGAATTGCAGAAATAAATTCACAACAACAAGCTACATCTTTCCTCTCTCATTCACTCTACTAATTGTTTCAAGAACAATGGCAGTGGGGTACTCCAGGGTCTAAGCGCTCAGGTAACTTATAACAGAGAAGAGGAAGCATGGACTAGTCCTGAGGCACAGGGAAGCCAGACCCAGCAAGAAAGACAAGAAGCCATTAGCAAATTAAAATGCCATAGAAATAGTCTCCAGACTATCCCAGTGAGAGATGAATAGGGGAAGTGTTATGGGTTCTGAGTCATACAGCAGCCAGGGACCTCTGGGGCAGTTTGCGGTCAAAACCACCCAGATTAACATTAGCCAACTCCCTCAGGCCAAAATAGTTAGTTTCTCTAAGGCACTCACACTCTAAATGCCAGGAGGCCCCCACAGATGTCTGATCAAATCATTCCGCCCTTGTTCTTCTCCCATTTTGCAGCTGGTCTTTCATTTAGGGAGTCTTAGCATTTCAACCAGTAAGAGCATCCATTGTCCTGAAAACGTGACTACCAAGACCCTGGGGTGAAGAGTGTAAGCCACTGTACTCTCAAGAGGAAATCCAGATGGGCAGACTGGAACCCAAAAGGAGAAGCCAGACATTCACTGCCCTGCCTCACTCAGGAGCACTCAGTTTAAGGAGCCAGATCAGGTCTCCGGTTGGAACTGGGAAGAACAGAGGCTCTGGAATCAGAAACAATCATGGAGGGCACTGGCAAGTGACCTGGGGCCAGTGACAGAGAATCTGATTATCAGTTTCCTCACCTGAAAATGTTGTTGTTAGTGCTGACTTGTCGGTTCTGACCCAGAGGAGCGGCTAATGAGTTTGAACAGCTAACTTTGTGGTTTAAACAACCTTATGGTCTGGTGCTTATCCTACAGTGTGCCATACCAGGACTGCAAATAGAGACCACTTAATTTCTAGGGCGCTTGTGAAGATTTGATGAGAAGACACAGTTGGAGGGGCTGCTGCCTTTTAAAGCACCATATAGGTTATGTACAGATAAGGTGGCAGAGGCATGCAGGTAGCCAAATTCTGGAGACTGTGAATGCCGTCATAAAGGAGAGTCATCACATGACTTTAAGTGACAGTGTCATGCCCAAGGTGTGCTTTGGAAGGATCAACATTTGGGAGATTAGGAGTGGCACTATGGGAAGCTGATAGGAGCAGCTGACGAAACAGAAAAATAATCAGGAGAGAATGTGATGTTCTAGCTGCCAAGGGAAAAGTGTCTAAAGAAGGATGTATGGGCCAATTGTGTCAAACATGGAGGGTAGCTCCTGAATGGAGCGCTAGAGCCCAAGCAATGACAGCTGGATTGGGCAATATGGAGGTCACTGCTGACCATGATGTGAATGTTCCACTGGAACATCAAACAGGAAGAAAGCAAAAATTCATTAAGAAGACAAGAAAGAAAGAAAACATCAAAACGTATGTCAGAACAGACACTGAAACTTGCTCTCTGGTAGTGTAGTGGTTATGAATCGGGCTGCAAACCACAAGGTCAGCGGTTTGAAACTACCAGCTGTTCTGTGGGAGAAAGATGAGGCTTTCTGCTCCC